CTTTCCTTCCTCAAGAGGTACGGACACAATAAAAACAAATCCTCTGAGCCATTTGTGCAAGTGAACAGCCTTATCTCATTTTTTACGACAGCCTAGTGAGATCGGCAGGCAGGCCAGGGCTTGCCCTCCCAACTTGAAGAGTGCAGAGCCAAAGCTGGGGAAGAGGCCTGCCTGCAGCTAGTCTCACACTGGTGCGTGGCAGAGCCGGAGCTGGGTCCTCGGTCTCCTGACTCCAGTCACATGCATGAGGTCCAACCACTGAGAGCTGGAATTCAGACCGCTTGGGTCTTTTCACCCCAAACCAGGCATTCTTGCTATTTTGTTTTGCTGAAATTTTCATTGCCTTTCTATAATTGTAGGGTGAAGCCCAAAACACTGGGGTCAGAGGAGGTACAGGGAGCTGAACATAGGAAAGGGACAGTGTCTCTTGTTCCATGTACTTCAGTAAGGACTTGGTGTTTACCGCGTGCTCAGTTTTCTCCTCAAAAAGGAAATAACAGCTAAAGGTCAGATGTCTTTAATTGCAGTACTGTTGGTCTCTTGCATATACTAAACACTTCATACTTTGCAGAGGGCTCGTGCGTGTGTATGTGTGTTTTCCAGATTCACATACTGTACACCATCCCCTTACAGTGTACAAGTCAGTGTTTTTTAGCATATTCACAGGGCTGTGCAGCCACTAGCACAGTCTACTTTTGGAGCATTTTTATCACCCCAAGAAGAAACCTCATCGCACTCATTAGCAATCACTTCCTGTTCTCCATCCTCGCTCACCCCACCCTAGGGAACTGCTGTTCTCTTTTTCTGACTATATATTTCCCAATTCTGGTCATTTCATATCAATGAAATCTAGCTTCGTTTTATTTAGCATAATGTTTCCAAGGCTTATACATATTATAACATGTATTCATACTTTGTTCTTTTTACTGCTGAACAATATCCCATTGTACAGAACATGCCGTGTTTTCTTTATGCATTGATCAGTTTATAGGCATTGGGGTGTCTCCACTTCTGCCTGTTATGAGTAATGCTACTGTGAACATTCGTGTACAAGTTTTTGTGTGGACACGTGGGTTCATCCTCCTGGGTACACACCTGTGGGTGGAATTGCTGGGTCATATGGTAACTCTATATTTAACTTTTTGAGAAACTGTCAAACTGTGTGTGTGTTTATAACTTTACTGAGCTCTTATTTCCCATACCACAAAATTCACCTATTCAAAGTATACAGTTCAGCAGTATAGCATGTTCACACAGGGTCATGCGGCCATCACCACAATTTTAGGAAATTTTCATCACCCCAAAAAGGAACGTTATACTCATTAGCAGTTACTATCCATTTCCACCCCCCAAGCAGGCACGAGTTTACTCTCTATCTTTATGGCTTTGCCTAGTCTAGATGTTTTGTGTAGATGAAGCCGTACAACCTATAGTCTTTTAGCACTGGTTTCTTTCACTTAGCAAAGAGTTTTGAAGGTTCATCTGTGTTGCAGCTTGTATCAGTATGCCATTCATTTCTGTGGCTGAACAACATTTCCTTGTGTGGCTGTATTGCCCTCTTACTTACCTGGTCCCTCCTCTGTCGTTACGTGGTGTACTCTCCCTGCATGTGTCTGCGTCTCTGTTTTCTCTGCTTTTAAGGACACCAGTCACTGGGTCAGGGCCCACCCTCATCCACTGTGGCCTCATCTTAACTAATTACATCCCAAACACCCTGTTTTCAAATAGGGTCCCTTTCTGAGATTCCAGGTAGACAGGAATTTTGGAAGGGACACTATTCAACTTAGTACAGGCAATAAGGAATAATCACATAAATTCAGCTTGAAATCTTTGAACAGTGCAAACACAGTGGAATTTTGGCAAAGTGTGGTACCAAAACAGCTTTGAAAGAACTTTTCTGGGGCTTCAACCGTTACGGTGCTGACTGGTTTCGTAGACATTGCTTCATGCTGGTAGAATGGAGCAGTGTCTGTGCGCCGACTCACCCTAACCCTTGCTTCATCTTATTAACAGACCTTTTAAAAACTTCTCTGATTTTGACCACAAGAAACAAACATGTCTGGGGTTTTGTGCCATGGAAGATTCTTTTATTCATTCAACAGATATGTACCCACTATGTGCTAGGACTGTTCTAGGCACCAAGGATACAGAAGTGGCTAGAACATGTTTTCAGTACTCACAACATGCAGGATTTTCTACGCCCTTAATGCATTTTACCCTTATAACCACCCTATGTCAATCTGTAAGTGAGGAAACCAAAACTCAGAAAGATGACATGACTTCTCTGCAGGTAAATGGACTGGGGCACAGATTCGATTCCATAGCCTGAGCTGGAGGCAGAGAGCCCCAGAGGTGAGGCCAGGTCACTCCTCTCTTACAAAGACCACAGTCCAAGCATTCAGCATGGGCAGCATGGAAGATGTATTAAGTAACAAGACAGGATGAGTAGGTTGTGACAGAATGGCTTTTCTTGTCATGCTGGGGAACCTGGACACTAAGGAAGTTACTGAGGGAGTGTGACCTACTATGCTATGTATTTCATTTATTTAACCAACACGTATTTATCGAGCTGTGTCCCACACTGGGTGAATGCTGGAGATAAAGTGTTACAAAAGTGACAGACACCCTGCCCGTACTGAGTTTATGGCCTAATGATTGAGCATGGAGTGATAAGGGAGAGGTTGGTATTTTCCTGAAATTATCTTTGCAATACAAGGAAGCACTGGTGAGAAACAAGGTTGAAGAAATAAACAGGAAAGTGGTTTTAAAGAGAGAGAGAGCTTTGTAAGTCATCTTGAGGATCACGGATCCATTGAAGAACTTTAAGCAGGGCAGAGGCTCAGTGACGTGATGTAGTTGTTGAGAAACAGGCAAGAGTCACAGGTAACGTCTAGGTTTCTGGCTGGAGAACTGATTGGATGGTGATATTGATGTGCTTCACTGAGACAGAGAACAAAGGACAAGGTTGAAGAGTTCAATTTAGGTTGTTGAGCTTGACCTGCTTGTGGAACATGTGAATGGAGATGCCCAGCCGAACGGACAGACACATGACAGGGAGCCCAGGAGAGAGAGCTGAGTGTTGTCATCACGCAGGTGGCCACTGAAGCTCTGAGAGCAGACAGGATACTCCAGGAGATCCTCCTGAATGAGACTGAAGCTACGGCAGGGTCTGGGGCAGAGTCCTCAAGAGAGAGGAGGTTCATTGAAGAGGTGGGCTGAGGAAGAGGTGTCCAAAAAGACCGCAGTGACTGTAGAATTGCATCAGAGGTTTTGCCCTTGGCACCTTCCCTGCGTCTTCTCAGGCAGCAGGTTCATCCCTGGCACCAGGACCGCTCCATCCCCCAGCATACACCCTCTCTCCTCTGCCATTAGAGAGTTCATCTTGCGAGGCTAATGGAGTCATGAAGCCACTGATTCTGTTAACACGTGTCCACTTCAGTACAAGACCTGTAATGGGAATTCATTTTGGAGGTCAACACAGCTGTCACTGGGACAGTTTTTCCCCAAAGGCCCATGGCTTTTTCTGTTGTACACTGGCACAGTTGTCCTGCCTGGCACCTGGAACAACTGGAGAGTAATTAAGGCTGCAGAGCTTCAGTGAGCTGGTGATCCTGCCGAGGGCCTTCAGAAGGGGACGAGCTGAGACAGGTCAGATAACAGGCGGTGGAAGCAGAACTGTGCGCGCTCTGAAATGATTTAAATACCCCTAGGAAGCCACCATCCAGGCCACTGAAATATTATCCCCTACTAGTACCCTAACACCAGAAATTACACCTTTAAACCTTTATTTCTTTTACACAAGAAAGTTCACTGTTGGAATTATTAAATGATGAATGAACACGTTTTCCTATTCTGCAAACACAGACTGAGAACTTTCTATGTACCTAGCCTTGATTAGGCAAATGCGGAGACTGTTGAGACACCGGTCTCTGTTCTTAGAGACCCATGGGCTAGGCAAAGAAGCAAAGTAACAGTAGCTATAATGAAGCATGGGCCAAGTGCTCCTGGCACCCCGAGTAATGAATGACCACGTCCAGGAGGGTTTCAGAGAGAATGTGATACCCATGTCAGGTCTCAAAGCCTGCATCTGAGTGCCAGGAGAATAGACGTGAAATCCAGGTGGAAGGAACAGCATAACGAAGAATCATAAAAGGAGCTGGTATTTTCAGGGACTGATGATGCTTCCATATGCCTTGAGTGTGGAAGGAGAAAAGCAGGAAATAGGTCAGGCTGTGAAAGGCCTTGTATGTTATGCTTAGAATTTAAACCAAGCTTAGAGAGCCAGTCAAATGAATACCCTTTGGCATGGGGTGTAGCACTCTAAGCTATTATGTCCTTAATAGCTTGCTTCCTTTCTAATGTAACAGACGAGACCTTAAGATAAGAGTTAAGAGAAAAAGACCAGTAGACAGAGAGTAGTAGGTACAGGATTTGGGGTGTGGGAGACATTGCCATCCTCAGAGGACTGGGAAGGGCAGGCTGGAGGAGCTGGGACAAGTCTTAAGGGACAGCTCCAAATACATTTGTGCTTTTATCGTTAATGTAGTAAGGCACAGTCCAGGGACTCAATTAAGGAGTCTTCAGGAAGCAAAGCTTCATTTAACAAAGCAGCCTTGTCTGTGAGGGAGGCGATGACAACAGAAGCCACTGCGGAGAAGGAAAGCAGTGGTGCTCACTGCTCCAGAGAGCCCGAGCCCTGTTCCTGCACCACGGGGAGCCGTACCTCCTGGAAGTGGGGCCGTGCTGCTCCAGCAGTGAGAGCGGCTTCCAGGCGACTCCACGAGCAGTGCAGATGTACAGAGCACCTCCTTCTCAGCCACGGTGGCCAGTGGGCCACAGCCCTCCTCTGGGAGGGGGGGGCAGGGACATGGGAGGGAGAAAATGCTGCTGCTGGACCATCGACTCTACTGCTGATAGTTTTCTTCCTCTGACAACCCACTTTGGAAAAAAGGCACCTTTCTTTCCTTTTTCGTTCACAGAGTCCTCTCTCCTTTTCACAGATTCCCTGAGAAACATTTCTTCAGCCAGTCACGGGCCCCGCTCCTCTCCAGCTGAGCTCAGCAGCTCCAGTCAGCACCCTCTCCGAGAGCGAAAATCCTCAGCCCCGTCGCACTCCAGCCAGCCCACCTTGTTCACATTCGAACCACCTGGCTCAAACCACATGCAGCCCCCATTGTCCACCAGTGCGCCTCAGGAGTATGTCTACCTGCACCAGTGTATAAGCCGGAGAGCAGAAAATGCCAGGTAGGAGACCGCGGTGACTGCTCACACAGACTCGAACTTTTCAGTCTCTGTTCTTTCATTTTAAAGACAAAGGAATACGATATAATAGCTTTTTGGGTGGTAAAATGTGTACTTATAAAACAAATCGTTTTCTGGCTTAGGTGACCACCACATTTCATTGGTATCATCTCTATTGCTGTACAGCGATCACTGTATTCCAGAGAGACCTCCCGTTGTCAAAAATCATGCTATAAAATTTTTTTAATTTGGGGAAAAAAAGTCCTGTAGGGCTAGAGTTTCTGAATTGAAAAAGATAAGTCAATTTACTTGTTGGCCTTAAGAAGATAGCTATAAAGCCTTAACATTATTGAACAAATCCATACCTCACTGTTTCTATAGAGCTGCACTGTCCTATATGGTAGCCAGTGTCCACGTGTGGCTAATGAAAATTAATTAAAATTGAATAAAATTCAAAATTTAGTTGATCAGTTGCACTAGCCACCCTTTCAAGTGCTCAGTATGTGACTATTGCATGTGACTACCATCCTGGATAGTACAGCACGAAACTCCTTCATCACAGGGAATTCACAGCAAGGACTCCCTGTTCCAGAACAATGGTCTTTGTTTTCCTGACACTGGCAGCTCTCTCACAGGTGCAGGGCCTGTGCGTATGTTTATTACCTTTTATTTCCACTGTTAGGAGAAACAAAAGCACAGAGCTGATAGGCTTTGCCAGAGTTAGATCCCAATTACTACCATGGCCAGCAGATTACAAATCAAGTTCCTTAATTAATTTATTTATAAATATCTAAATTGTGTTATGAAAATTATGGCAATATGAGGACTGGCTGTATAATATATCACTTGACAGACTGTTTTCAGGCATAATCTCACTCGAACCAGTCAAACCCACTGAGAGAGCCAGTACAACTCATTTTCTTCATTTCAAAGATGAAGAAAGGGAGGCTTACAGCTAATAAGTGACAGAGGCAGCCCTAGAACTCAGGTCTTCTCGTATCTGGTCCTGAATTCTTTTCTCTACACTGTGCTGCACTGGTTCTGGCTTTGTGAGTCATTCACCATCACCATCACCCAACAGAGGCTCCCAGCACTCAGACTCAGTGATACCTCAAATGCCAGTTGATTCATTTGTTTGTGAATTTTCCCTAGTTCAGCCTCCATCAACTTATGCATGAAGAGCTGAGTTCTAAAACAGTGGGGTGAATTAACCATGACCACTGAGACAGTTAATGGCACCTGACTCCTCCTGAATCGCAGACCAGAGACAGGCAGTGCGCTGCAGCGGAAAGCACATTACGAGCTTCGGAGTCGGTCAGACGTGGGTTCAGATTCGGATTCTGCCACTGTCCTTGTGATCATCGGCCACTTAGTTAACCTTCTTGACTTTCAGTCGCCTTACCTGCTAGATGAAAGTAACTAACTCAAAAGCTTACTCATGAATGTGAAATGACAAAACATACATAAAGTACCCTGGAGTAGACACTCAGTACACGTTACCGGCCGCTCTCCTGTGCGCCATCCCCTCCTACTACATGGGTGATTTCCCGGGAGTTGAGAGTGTGCAGGAGTTCTTACAATCATAGTTCTAGTGAAAGATTAGGTGCTCTCTATGAAAGCCTCTCGGTATTTAATGTGCATATGAAATATTTGAGGACCTTATTGAAATGCTGATTCTGGCTGAGCAGGCCTGGGGTGGGTCCTGAGATCCTGCCTTTCTGCGAAACTGTGTCTGATGCCATCCAGATGGTGTGCAGTTCACACTTTAAGTAGAAGACCTTACGTAATATTAACAGCTACCACCACCTCCAGTCCCATGATACCGCTAAAGCAACTGAGAACAAATATATAAATGTCTCTGCTTGAATTAGCACTTAGAGCTCACTTTCTCTGCACCCCCATGTCCTCTGCAAAACCTCTCTTAATCTTCCTGGCTGGAATTCATTTCTCCTCTGAATTCCCATAGCAGTTTTTGATTCTCTCTCTCACAGCTTTTTCTGCCTCGTATTATGGATTTTTGTATTAATATGTTACTGCTCTTTGAAGACCCAGGGCACCTAGTAGGCACATGATAAGGATTTGAACAAAGCTGTGCTGTGGAGAAAACATAGGAAAGGTGACAGAACTTATTATAGTGGGGGAAGCACCTTTACTGTGGGGCTTTGACCAAAATGTGCTTTTTCTGTGTCTTTGTTTTCACTTGTGTGGGTGTTGGAGCAAAAGAGAGTGATGAGTAGGATCTCAGAGAGAATTTGGAAAAAATAAGTTCAAATGTTTTTTGCAGAATTCCAAGAGGGGCGGGTGGGTGGGAAGGAAGCATTCTTCACTCCCGAAAGACTGTCTAGTTTCTGGTAGTAGTGGAGTAGCTGGCACGATACTAAGCATACTGTAACAATTACGAACTCTGAACAAAATACACAGACACACAAAAACTGTTTCAAAGTATTTAATAGCAATCAAAAAGCAGGCAGAAACTGAAGGAGAGTTGACTCTTAAAGAAGGGACCCACACTGACTGGGTCCGACTTTCATGGCTTTTCCTATCAAGGAAATTCCTAGAAATATATCACCCAAAATATTTAGCATACAATGAGAAATTGCCAGACACATGAAGAAACTGTGAAAGTTGACCCATAATTGAGAGAACTCAGTTCATAGAAACAAACCAAAGTAAAACCCAAATTTGGGAGCTAGTGTACAAAGACTTTAAATTATTGTGTGTATTGCTTTGATCTACGGGGTGGGGATTGATAATGAATGAAGAGATTGTTACATTTAGGAGAGAGAGAGAAACTCTGCAAAAAATTTTAGGAGTTCCATTTCTAACTGTGAGACAGTCCCAAACTAGCACAGCAAAGGCTTTGTAAACTAAGGTGAGATACTTGTACTACCACACACAGAAGGAAAGTCAAAACTTGCAGTCTGGCCTTGGCTGGTGTGGCTCAGTGGATTGAGCGCCGGTCTGTGAACCAGAAGAAGGTTGCTGGTTTGATTCCGAGTTAGGGCACATGCCTGGGCTGCAGGCCAGGTCCCCAGTAGGGGATGCACAAGAGGCAACTACACACTGATATTTCTCTCCCTCTTTTCTCCTTCCCTTCCCCTCTCTAAAAGTAAATAATTAAAATCTTAAAAAACAAATCTTGCTGTCTGAACTTAACCAAGTTGACTGCCTGCAAAAATAAAATCATCAACATTCTCCAGGGGATTATAACAGAGCCCAGGGTCTAGACAACATAAGATCACAACATTCAGTGCATACTTCAAATTTCTCAGCATACAGAGAATCTCAAAATGTAACCAGTCTCAAGGGAAAGCACAGCTGTCAAGCTCAACATAATAACCCCAGGTGTAGAAACTAGGAGACACAGATTTAAAAGCCCTCATTATAACAATACTCCATGTGATAAAGGAAAACATACTTAAGATTAATGGAAAGGGAAGAAAAGTCTTTCAACCCAGAAGTTTATATTCTGCAAACATGTCCTTTAGAAATGAAAACAAAATTGAGATATTCTCAGTTGAAAGAAAAAGAAGAGAATTTCCAGGAGATTTTTGAAAATGCTACAGAAGTTCTTCAGGCTGAAGCAAGAGAGTACCAGAAGGAAGCTAAGATCTTCAGGAGTGAGGAAAAGTAGCAAAAAGAGTAAATATCTGCATAATTATAAAAGGATATTTTTCCTTCTAAGTTCTTTATTAGTATATATATGAGTGTGAAATCAAATCTAGTGGGGTTTTTACTCGGTTTTATTTCTCTTCAGCCTAAAGAACTTCCTTTACCATTTCTTTCCATGTGAGTCCCCTCATGACGTATTTTTCAAATTTTTACTTATCTGGAAATATCTTTATTTCACCATAATTTTAGAGAAATTTTTGGATGGGTATACAATTCAGGGGTGATGGTTTTATTTTCTTTCATCATTTTAAAAAATTTATCTTTAGAGGGGAAGGGAAGGAGAGAGGGAGAGAAATAATGTATGGTTGCCTCTCGTGTGTCCTCTGCTGGGAACTGGCCTGAGACCCAGGCATGCGCCCTGCCTGGGAATCAAACTATGATCCTCTGGTTCGCAGGCCAGCACTCAATCCACTGAGCTACACCAGCCAGGGCTCTTTCATCATTTTAAAGGATGCCATGCTATAGTCTTCTGACCTTCATTGTTTCTCATGAGAGGTCAGCTGCTATTTTTATTTTAATTTTTCTATATGTTATGTTATTTGACAAAGATGACAATAGGGAAATGAAAGTCTTTTCAACAAATGATGCTGGAAAAGCTGGTTATCCAGATAGAAATAAAAAAGAACCCTTACTTCATATTACACTACTCAAAAGTTAACTCAAATGGCCCTGGCTGGTGTGGCTCAGTTGGTTTTACCATTGTTTCATAACCAGAGGGTTGTGAGTTTGATTCCTGGTCAGGGCACCTACCTAGGTTACAGGTTCAGTCCCTGGTCCAGATGCATAAAACTCCCAGTCTGGGCATATATAGGTGGCAACCAGTCATTGCTTCTCTCTTGCATTTGTGTTTCTTTCTCTCCCTCCCCCTCTCCCTTCCTCTCTTTCTAAAAGCAATGAAAAAATATGTCCTTGATGACAATAAAAAAAATTGAATGCAAGTATATCAGAGACCTAAATGTAAAGTCTAGTACTATGAAACTTCTAGAAGAAAACATCTCTGTGATCTTGCATTACATAGAATTTTTATATAGGATACAAAAAGCAGAATCATAAAAGAAAAGTTTGATAAAGTAGTTTTTTTTTAACTTCACTGTAGGAATTTATTTTTTTTTAATTTTTATTTTTTTAATTGATTATGCTGTTACAGTTGTTCTATTCCCCCCTTCATTCCCCTCCACCCTACCCCCCATCCCCACCATTACCCCCCTTTAGTTTATGACCATGTGTCTCAAGTCCTTTAGATTCTATATTTCCCATGCTATTCTTGCCCCCCCATCTATTTTCTTTCTACTGTCTATGCTACTTATTTTCTGTACCTTCTCCCCCTATCT